AAGGACAAGGACACAGGCAAGGGCGCGACAGCCGCACCAAGCGCAAGGCGCACTGAGGGCCGACGCAAGGCCGCTGAGGGCCGACGCATCTCGGCATCGTTCGGACGTGCGCATGTTTCGCCGCCGTCGCCCACGAGGGACGAGCGATGGCGAGACTGACATTCACCGAGCGCCGCTCACGGCTTGAACGCCGCGCCCGTCGCGCCCGACGCCGTGGGGGGGGGGCAGCCTAGTCGGGGCTCGTACTCCTACTATTACTCCCGCTCCTACTCCCACTCCTGGCCCTGAGGGCGTCCTGGGAGGGCCGCGCCCAGGAGGGTTTTGCATTCCTAGCGGCACTTCGTTCGCGTCAACATCTGACACCCCCCGCCAATCCCCTCCCATTGCAGCTGTTTTGGCTCATGTCCAAGCGTTCGAACGCACACTTACGGTTGCGCACTGGTTCCGTGACAGTAGGTGTGTTGGCTCAGGCCTTGTCGAAGGTAGATGGCCTTGATCATAGATGCAGGTCTACGCTGAACGTGGCGAACCGAAATACATCGAATAACATCGCGCGCCCTTTGGGTCTTGAGCTGGTGATGGGAGGCAGCTTCAAGAGGGGAGTGTCGGAACCGTCGTTCCTGCTGCAGGAGATGGCCCACGCGTCGGGCGAGCTCTTCGCCAGAGCGGGCAGGGCGGCCCCGCGCGGCCGAGATACCCCTGGAACACGATTGTGCAATTCAATGAGTGCACGACTGGGGGCGAGCAAGAACCATTGAACCGCCGAAAATCCGCGGTGGATTCATCCAGTTCATGGGGGTTGGCCCCACTGCGCTGCGCCGTGCCCATAATGTCAAAGACGCGCTGGCGGCCGGCATCGGCGGTGTCGGATGTTGTGGCGCATGTTGACCATGGGTGGCCTTTCGTTTTCTCGGGCAGTCTGCCGAATGACGCTGCGTGGCCAACTCTTTCAACGTTTTGCGACGGTGGAGGTCGTGCTGTCGGGCTTGGATGGTTTTCGGATGCGCTGCGGTTGGGGGGGGACTTCCCCGCGCAAGCCGTGCGTATAATGTGCAAACGCTCGGGGGAAAAGAACTTGCCCCTGTTGGCGAAGTTGACATTGCGGGCGCGGGCGCTGCCCATTTCAGGCCGCTGGGCCAGGATCAGGCGATCGGCTTACTGACCGTTGCGATTACAGCCCAGGGCCAGTTTGACAACGGCGGGATCAACCAGCTGGTTTGCAAGGGAAGTGTTCCAGGGACTTGGTTTCGATCCGGGCCCTGTCTCGTTGCAGGCCGACCGGCGTCTCTGCGCTGTGCTGGGCGTCTACTCTGCCGCTCTCCGATTGAGCGCGCGACCTGTTTGCCCACGGGGCGTTCGCAAGAGATCGTTCGTTGTCTGCCGGGCCGTGCGAAGGCATAGGGCTTCAATTTGCTGTCTGGCGTGATTTGATAGAGGCGGGCTGGCCCCTCCTGGAAAAGCGCGGCGCGCGGCGGCCTGAACTGCACTGCGCTTTCTCGCCCCACAATGAAGAAAGGCAGATCCAGATGGCAAGCCCGCGAACATCTCAGTTTGCATGGGCCTATGCGACATTGGGCGGTGCCGTTTGGTGCGCGACGCCCGCGTCAGTTTGCAGCGGGAGTCGTTTGAGGCGGCGCGCAAGGTAGTTGACCTGCGCGTGACTTCCAAGCGATCGTCGGGCCTTCTTCCAGAATGCGGCCGCGCCATTGCGCTGCGCGTTGCAGCGCCGCGCCGGCAAATATAAGTTTGCGTTCGGCGCGGGCAGAGTTCCCCCGAGGCGCCGCGCTGCTTTCCACGTGCCCGATCAGTTTCTCAATGATCGGTGCGTCGTGGATACGTTCGTCGTGGAGATGTTGATCCTCCGGGTCAAGGAGGTCGCCGAACATGTGAAAGACGCCCACATTTTGGGACGGCTTGCGTCGGCGAGCTTGTCTGCCAAACAGTTCCACCGAACTTCGGAAAGGTAACTGCCATGTTTCAAACGGCTCATCGGTCGGTGCACCTCGCCTCGGGAATATCCCAATGTTTTGCTGGCCAGGGCCACCCGATGTGACGGCGAAGAGTTTCACGTGCACGACGTTATACTATCAGCTGATGTGTTTTTTTTGTTTGGGGGGGGGGGGGGGGGGGGGCAGCTCCCCGCGCTCTCGACGCCTCGGACACGTCCTTGCTCGCGCAGGTCACGTGGCCGATTGGGCCCATGACAACGTCGAGCAACAGGCGTCGCATCACACGCCGTCTTTGCGCGGCGTTCGTGGCGGGCGCGCGGCTGGCGAGCGCGCGGCGCGCGAATGCGCCCGAGGAGTACGCGGTCCTGTTTTACGCGCAGTGTCGGCGTCGAGGCTTCTCCCGTCGGCGACGGGCTTGGTCGCCGAACTTCATGACTTTTTCCAGGTCTTCCAGATAACAAACTCTCCTCATGACCGCGGCTACGTCTGTCAGGTGGCCGCCGTTGTGGTCGATGTGGTGATGCCGGTCCGCGGGCCATGGGGGCGCGGGGTTCTGGTAAAACTCCATGTCAGGGCACTGCCACCATGCATGCAACGCCCATGGCACCCAGCCTGGCACCCCTTCTAGGGCGCCGCTGGCCTCGCACATGTTCGAGGCCGCGAGCCATGGACACCCTTGGCGCTCATGCGTGCTTGGATTCGACGCGGCCGCGGGAAATGAGGGGCCAGGGGCGACCTGACGAGGCAGATGGGCGTGCAGCTGGGGGCGAGAATGGCGATGGGGACTGGCGCAGCTTGAATCATGAACCGAAGCCCTATGGTGCCTTCTGGGGGCACAGGCTGGCTCTCTCGGGGCTCTCATGCCCCCCTCCCCCCTCGAGGACCTGTCGGGTCCCCCGCGCCCCCCCCCCCCTCCCACTGGCGCAGCCCGAATGCCCCTGGAGGCTCCAAGCGTGCTGCCGCAGGGCCCGTGGGAGGTGCCCGCATCGCATAGATTCGCATGTCAACGCATGGCATCGCATAGGACATCATGTCAGATCGTGTATCATCGCATAGCACTGTATGGCATCGCGTAGCATCGCGTAGCAACGGAACGGACAGAAAGCGAAGTGTCGTTGGGGAGGAGGAGGATGAGGAGGAGGAGTGTACTACATTTTATGCCATGCGCTGGGTCGAGAGAGCGGAAGCGCCACTTGGTGCACGTTCGCGGCTGCACCAACGCCGCTCGAAGTGCCGCCGTGCCTACATTGCGGCAGCGTCGTCGTCGTCGTCGTCGTCGTCGTCGTCGTCGTCGTCGTCTCGTGAGCGCTCCTCTGCCGAGCGAGGAGTTCCGAGCGTGCGCGGCGGCGGCGATGAAACATATTGCCGACGGCTCCTTGGACAGTCCGCCTGCCGTCGGCTCTCTTGATCCGTTGCTTTTCGAGGTTGTCTCGAGATGAAACGCTCGGGCATAGCCGATTCGAGCAGCAAACCAAGCTTGGGCGCCACTTGACGTGGAATTCAGCCGAGCCAAACCAAGCTCAGCAACTCTCTCATTGGCACCCACAGAGCTGTCGTAACTACCTTTTTTCACACCTCTCGAGAGCGGGGAGCTTGACGCAATACCTGTTGACGCGGCCATCTCTGAGCCTCGTCGTGTCACGCACTCCACATCGAGCTGCACCCGCCCTTCAGACCCATGTAACGTATCCGGGCTGCCGTCGCTGTACACATTGACGCCTGAGTGGCCATGGTGAGTGCAGACTCCGAAACAAAGGCGCCCGTCGCTCGACATTCAATTGCCGAGCGGCTGTTGATTCCATGCTATAAATGGCTTGGTCAAGCTCTCCAACCTAGTTTTATGATACCCTACGCAGCGATCGCCTGGGTAATGAAGCCCGAAATCGTAACGCCAATGATCGCCTCCAGATTGCATCGTCCTGCACTCAGGGCTGATGCGAAGAGGGATTCGTGCCCACGCTGTGCCGTCGCTGCGCTGATGCCCCGTGGGAGGGCTGAGCTTGTTCGTCTCGATGATGGCACGCCATGTGCCGCCTGGGAATGTGTGCAAATTATTGTATACTGAAGTCAGGGCAGGTGCACAATCGCATCCGAGAGCACGCCAAGGGCGGTTTTCGTCGACAGTGTTCGTGATGAGGTACTCGCGCCAAGAGCAAGTGCCACTGACACGGGCTGCTGCTGGTGCTGCGCCTGGTGCTGCGTCTGCTGGTGCGCCTGGTGCTGCGTCTGCGTCTGCTGGTGCTGCGCCTGGTGCTGCATCTGGTGCTGCGTCTGCTTGTGCTGCGCCTGGTGCTGCGTCTGCTTGTGCTGTGCCTGGTGCTGCTGCTGCGTCTGCTGATGCTGCTGCGTCTGCTGGTGCTGCTGCGTCTGCTGGTGCTGCGCCTGCAGGTGCTGCGCCTGCTGGTGCTGCGTCTGCTGGTGCTGCGTCTTCTGGTGCTGCGCATGATGCACCCGGCTCGTCCTCTGGCTCGACGTCTACCGCGGGCCGTGCCCAGCGTGCCATGACCCCAATTCTTGGTGGCACAGGGCACAGGGTACCTGAATTAAACGCGCATTGAGCGTTGCAAAAACGATGCGAGCCAAACCGGCTGGTGGAAACGACGACGGCCATGCCGACGACGACGATGATGCTCCCGCAGGAGGCCCACACGAACGCATGGCATAGTAGATCTAATTCAGTACACTATCGTAAATTATCATAGATCAACTTGGGTTATGGGCCATCGGATTCTTACCACTCTAGAGATTGTGGACAACACGGCGGTGGAATTAGTGGAACTTGTAATATATATATATATATACACACATAGCTTAATCCAGCATCGTTTAGTTATTTGGATGGCCGTACAAGTTCCAGAAGTCCTCCACAGTTCCCCTTGATATACTATATGTGTTTGTTGTGCAAACACTCTTCTCAGTGGGGGTCGACGTTGTGAACCATCACGACGCCGGGGGTCTGGGTTGGGAGCCACGAGGCGGCCAGCTTGGCTTCGAGACAGGGCTCTGGCAGACCCGGGGCTGTGCTGACCCGGGTTCGCGCGTCCCGGGCAGGAGCCGCTCCGCGTGGTCGTGACGGCCGCGCGGAACTTCTCGCACGTCTTCGCCTCGGCGCAGACCTGGATGTCAGGGGGGGTGAGTGCCAGCCATGCTCGCGTCATGGCAACACTCGCGACGGATTGTTTTTGGCCGTTTTCGGCCTCCGGGGGCCCTCGCCAGACAACGGGACCGTTCAACAATGAATTGGGATGAGAAGCCCCAGCCTTCGCACAAAACATATCAAGACGTCCCATGTCTGGAAAGTCCCCTCGTCGCCACGGCCGGATTTGCGTTGAATTTCGGGCCAGAGTGCACCCCAGGGCAGGTCCGGGGAGTAGCAGTGGGGGTATACCTCTTCCCTTGGAGTCGACGTTGCGAACAAAAATGTCACGTCGCAACAAAAACACGACCAGAGTCCCGAACCTCATCCTGCTGCGTCATTGCTCGAGCCGCATCGATCTGTGAGGGTCCCGGGGCAAACTGGGCGAACGCGCCCGTTGAAAAAAAGTTGCAACGCCAGGAGCTCAGGGCTGGTTTCCCCCAGGATCTACGTGCAGCATGCGGAGGATCCCCCGGCCCTCACTGCCAGCCGGGGCACCTTCGCCGTGCGGGCGGGGAGCACCGTGGCCCTGGGCGGCGTCGAGGTCTGGGATGCGGATGGGGGCGTGGGCACGCGGTGGATGACGCTCATGGTGTCTGCCTCCGCGGGCATCCTGTTCCTGGAGGATGCGTACGTGCTGTCGCCGGCGGGGGGCACCCTGCGCTTGGTGGCTGGTCGCCTCGACGGAGACAGCTCGCTGAGAGTGCAGGGCAGCCGCGAGGCACTCCGCGGCTTCGTGGGAGCGCTCCGCTTCGGCCTGACGGCCTCGAAGAAGCCCTCTCTGAGCAGCAGCTCTCCGACGGAGCCGCAGGCGGTTGCGGCCATCTCCTACACCCTCTCGGACGGCACCGGAGCTGGGGCTGCAGCACTGCTGCACAGCTTCGTGGCCGGGAGGGTGCTCGACGCGGTGACTGGGGGCCCTGTCGAGGGCGTCGAGGTCGTCATCGTGACGTTGGGCTCGTGGCTGGGGTTTGCCGCGAAGAACGCCTCGTCGGGTGGCTGCGACCCCCTGCTGGTGCGCCAGAGCATCGACGCGTGCAAGGCCGAGACCCTCCTGCAGGGACACGTCGGGTTCGCGTACGACAGTCGAACGTTCGAGTGCTGCATGAAGAAGGGCGTCGACGCACCGACGCTCCTCGAGAACATGGTGGACGAGAGCACCGTCACGCTGTACGTTTATCAGCTTCCGGGCTTCACGGTGCACACGGGCACCGATTCCTTTGGGGTGTATACCGCTACCTTGCCCAGCGGTGTTGCAGCGGTGTCCCTCTACAGGTACAACTACGAGAGGATGACGAGGTACGTGTCCGTAGAGGGTACCATTCAGGTGGGCGGTGCAGCCGACGCAGTGCTGATCCCGGCCGCTGTGGTGACAGTCTGGAGCGTGACAGTGTCGTGGTCTTCCCTGGCTGGAGAGCCGGTGGACGTGGACGCGCACGCGTTCGACGCATGGGGCTGCCACACCCATTTCGCCAGGCAGGAGTGCGAGCACGATGTAGACCATGGGCTCAGAGTGACTTACAGCGGGGACATCAATGGTGGCATGAGCGGGCAGGAGGTCATGACCTTTTTCGCCAGGCCGTGTGACGTGAATTCCGAGTCTCCCGGAGAGTTGCCAAACCCTCCTGGCCGATACATCGTGGACACCTACGCCTGGTATCAGATCACCGACGTCCAGACCTGCCTGGCATACTTCTGGGCACACATCTTCTCGGAGCACGACTTCTCGGACGTGCGCGCGAACCTGACCATCCATAGGAACGACGAGCTCTACAGCCACCTGGAGCTTGATTCTGGCCTGGGCAACGGCAGCGGAAACGGCAGCGGCGCCTACTGGTTCCCGGCGGCGAGCGACGACCGAGGGGGGGGAAACGAGAAGCAGAAGGCCTCCTCGGAAGGCGGCGGGGCTTCTCAGAAGGCCTCGGGCCTTCCGAGAGATTTTCCGGTGTTTTCTGGGAAGGCTTAGACCACGCAGCATAATCAAAAAATTGTCTTAAAAATAGTCTGGGGACTATTCTTTTAGTATGTTTTGATCTTTTGGGGGCATTTGTTTTGTATTTTTTGATTTCGTCGAAGATCCCCCTGTAGGGGGACACGCCCGACATAGTGCCAGATTCCTGTGCCCATGCCCCGCCCGATGATCCGTCCGAGCCTGCTGAGAAGGCCCCGCCCCTTCTCACTTCCCCCCCCCGCGCTCGCCTGTCCCCCAAGTGTGTGCTGTCTCCTGTGCCCCACGCGGGCTCCATGCGGACTCGACGCGGATGTCGAGTGGGTTCGACGCTCGGACTCGACGTGCATGCGACGCGGATTCGACGAGCCCGACACGAATTCGGCACAGACTCGGGCACGCCGCCGAGGCTCGGGCTCACGTTCGACTGGACGGCCAACGAGGTGTACGTCGACAACCGCGCGGGCAACGCCAGCGACGTGGAGGCCTTCCTCGGTGGGCAGGCCCTCCCGCCGGGCAGGAGCGGGGGCGCAAGGTGTAAGTCGGGCATGTCCCTCTGCAGGGCGAATGTTCAAAACTAGTTGTTGACAAAGTCTGGGGACGATTGCCTTAATCATTTTTGGACTATGCTTGAATTTGTGTGTTGGTTGATTTTTCGCACCAGATCCGCCTGTAGAGGGACATGCCCGACCTGACGCACGCTCTGTGTGCATCTTCACTTCGCCTCGGGTTTTCGGACTCCCTGCGCTAGAGCAGCCCGAGACGCGGTGGATTCAGGAGGGAAAAAAACACACTGACACAATTAATCCTCGATTCCCAGGAAAATATGGGAAAATATGGGAATTGGGGGGGAAGACAAAAACACAGAAAATATGGGAAAATATGGGGACTATTTTTATTTGTGTGTATTTATTTGTGTGTCCTAATTTCCCTTTATGGATGTGAACAAAAAGAGATTCGGGATCGTTCCAAACAGGGCCTCGCCTTCGAGGGTCGAAGAAGTTGCCCTCTCCTCCGCGGCGGAAGGCGGCGGAAGGTTCCGCGGAAGGCGGCGGAAGTACGGTAGGTTTGCGTCGTGTCGACCAGCGGCGACCCCAGCGCGGGCGTTCAACGTTGAACGCCGACGGCGGCCCAGAATCGATCGATGTTGAACGATCGGACGTTGCGGAGACGGCCGATCGTTCAAGGTTGAACGATCCCCGCGGTGTCAGAAACCAACGCCGGGGTCGGCACGACACGAACCTGCCGTACAACGGCGGCGGCTCCCCCGGCGGAAACCGGCGGAAGCTTGTTCCGGCGGAAGCAGAAGTCGACTTCCCAAGAGATGACACACATCTTTGGGTTCAGGGTTTCTGGAACCCGCCGTGTGGCCGCGGCCAGGTCTTGGGCGCGGCCAGCTCTTCGTCCGAGTCCACTGCGTATCGAGCTTCTTTCTGGAGGGAAAGAAACACACAGGCACAATTCATCGTCGATTCCCCAGAAAATATGGGAGAACGTGGGAAGTGGGGGGGAAGACGGAAACTCCGAAAATATATAGGAAGATATGGAGAATCTTGTTATCTGTGCGTATGTGTTTGTGTGTCCCAGGGCCCCTTCATTCTGGCACCCTTGCCCCCCAAATCTCAGGGGCAAGATTATTAAGGGCTCCCTCGAGGGCGCGACGTTATTCGCGCTTCGCGCTTCGCGGTCCTCGTTCCTTCTCCCCCTCCTCCTCGTCCTCCTATTCTCCCTTTGGGAGGGCGGCGCGAGAGCGCGAAGTTATTCGCGCTTCGCGCAGCGCGAAGCGCGAAGTTGGGAGCCCTAAGTTATAGGGAGGGGCAGGCTCGGGGCGCAGCGCATCGACCCCGAACCGCCCATCCATCGCAGAGAGGGGGCCGACACTGTACTCGGCATCGCTCGGACGTGTGCATTTTTTCCTTCGGCGAGGACCCTCGAGGAACATCCTTGATCATTTGGCGAAAAAACCACGCACGAGATCGAAAAAGACACAGGGGATGGACGCCCGAGCGATGGCGAGTGTGGGCCCGCTTCGCCCAGGACCGGCGCGGGTTCGCCATCGGGGGCCTTTCCGCTGATCTGTCGGCGAGGCATCACCGATTCCAGGCCCAGGTTCCCCCTCCTCCTGAGCTGGTTGCCCCCTCCCCTAACGTTGCCCCTCAGAGTCCAAGACGCCATGGACCTGGACGCAGCCAGGGCTCTGCCAACGAGGGCCGTGTGTTGGTTCGGCGGCGCGCAGAGGGGGAGTAGGGGGAGGGGGGAAGGCTTCTTAGAAGCGCCCCTGCTTCTTAGAAGGCGCGGGCCGTATCTGTAGATGAAAGGTCGGCGCCTGAGAAGCAGCCTCCTTCTAAGAAGCCTTTCCCCCTCCCCCTACCCCCTTGTGCGCGCCGCCAAGCTTGGTGCAGCAGTTCTTCGGATCTCAGGCTGGTGGGCCCCTCGCTGTGGTCGAGGCGCGCCGTGGCCCAAGCAGAGCCCATTCGCTCCCTGCTCAGCGCTCCATCTGGCAGCAAGGAGGAGGAGGAGGAGGAGGAGGAGGGGGATGATGATGATGATGATGATGATGATGATGATGATGATGATGATGATGATGATGATGATGATGATGATGATGATGATGATGATGATGATGATGATGATGATGATGATGATGATGATGATGATGATGATGATGATGATGATGATGATGATGATGATGATGATGATGATGATATGATGATGATGATGATGATGATGATGATGATGATGATGATGATGATGATGATGATGATGGTGGTGGTGGGTGGTGGTGGTGGTGGTGATGATGATGCTGATGCTGATGCTGATGCTGATGCTGATGCTGATGCTGATGCTGATGCTGATGCTGATGCTGATGCTGAGGAGGAGGAGGAGAGGAGGAGGAGGAGGAGGACGGGGAGAAGGAGGACGGCGTGGACGAGGAGGAGGAGGAGGAGGAGGAGGAGGGAGGGCGATGAGGAGGAGGAGGAGGAGGAGGAGGAGGAGGAGGAGGAGGAGAAGGAGGAGGAGGAGGAGGAGGACGACGACGACGAGGAGGAGGAGGAGGACGACGACGACGAGGACGAGGACGAGGCCCCCCTTGCCCCCCAGGAGCCTCGGGAGCCCAGCGGCGGCGCAGCCGCCGCCCAAGGACGGCGGCCAGCGGGCCCGGCGGCTGGTGGAGAGGGCGCTGGGCGGCACGCCGCGGCAGAAGCGGGCGGCGGCGGCGGGCGGGCCTGGCCCCGGCGGAGGCGCCCGCCGCCTCTCGGCCGCGCCGCAGGACTCGGAGGCGCCCGTAGGCTTCTGGGGGGCTGTGTGCGGCCCTTCGCGTGGGCCCTCGCCGGGCTTCTCTGGGCCGTCAGCGCACGGCTCGGGAGGAAACGCCGGTCTCGGGGGAGAGGAGTGGGCTTTGCGGGGGCCCGTTTTCGCGGCTCTGGGCCTCCTGGGATGCCCTTGTCGCCACGGCGCGATTCGCCTCGGAATTCTTGTCAAAGCGCGCCTGGGAGAGGTCAAGGGAGCTGCGGTATCGGTACCTCTCTGTCCCGCCAAAGGACGCGGCCGCGCTGCACGCCCTTGTGAACCAGCGGCCTCTGAACGTCTCCGGCAGCACGCTCTTCCTGGCCCCGGGCCCCGGCGAGGTTTGGGGACATGTCCAACAAGATGGAGGCAAGGGCTGAGGGGGATGGGGGAAGGAGGGGGTTCTCGTTGGTTTTTGGAGGTTTGCTTTCGCCGGGGTGCTCTCCAGCAGCTGCGCCTCGCCGAGAGCTTTCTGGAGGTGCCCAGATCGTCACGAGCAGCTGCCAGAGGCCCGAGCTATGGCCCGAAAGCCATGAGCGGTCCCTGAACGGTGCAGCGACCACACTGGTGAGTCAGCGGGGAGTCGGGGTGAGCGCACGGTCTGGGGACTTGGGTCGTTCTCTCCTCCCTCCTCCGCCTCCGCCTCCTCCTCCGCCTCCGCCTCCGCCTCCTCCTCCTCCCTCCCTCCTCCTCCCTCCTCCCTCCTCTTCTTCCTCCTCCTCCTCCTCCTCCTCCTCCTCCTCCTCCTCCTGCCTCCTCCTCCTGCCTCCTCCTCCTCCTCCTCCTCCTCCTCCTCCTCCCTCCCTCCCTCCCTCCTATCCTTATTCCTTATTAGAATATACTCCTACTCCCCCCTCAGGCCGGCCATTAGGGGCCGCATCCGGGTGGTCCCATCCTAACCTGTAAAAAACAATACAAAATCAACATTTTTCTTATTTTTTCCTCTCGACATGGACGTCCTGTCGTCCACGGCGATAATCCATTGCAAAAAATACCACAAAGAACACACGCGCGCGTTCATGTCAGAATCCTACCGAACACCGTGTGTTTGCAAGCATTTCAACATAAAAACATCAAAAACCCAATGCTTTTTTTTTCACAAAAATTGTACAAATTTCCCGCCCGGGCTCTCTTGCTGAAATCATAGGAAAACCATAGGAATCTTAAGAATTCTGTCAAATCCAGCGATTTCACGTCATCGCGCGGTGCACTCGCGATGCTCTGTCATGCACCCAGGCCGCGAATCCTGTGCAAAAAATACCACAAAGAGCACACTCGCGCGTTCATGTCAGAATCCTACCGAACACCGTGTGTTTGCAAGCATTTCAACATAAAAACATCAAAAACCCAATGCTTTTTCACAAAAATGCTTTGGGGTGTCCTGTCAGACCGTCGGGCTTCCTCCGGCCACCTCTGGCTTCCTGCGGTGTACCAGGCCATTCTCGACTCGTCTGGCAATGCGTGCGCGGCATTCAACACGCGCTCGCCAGTTCCCGTCGGCAACCGCCATCGCGGCCGCATCAGCTGTACCAAACCGGCTGGCCGGTGTGACTTCGGCCCCCAGTTGTGCCAGCTTTGCTTCTTATGTTGTGGGAGGGCGGGTGGGACTGGGCATGCCATGCTTGACTCGCTCGAGCTGGCTAGCTTGACTCCCACTCCTACTCCTCCTCCTTCTCCTTCGCTTCCTCCTCCTCTTCCTCTTCCTTCTGCTCCTCCTTTTCCTCCTCCTTCGCCGAGGACGTCTCGGCATCGGTGAGGTCCATGGGGATATATCGAGGTCACCGCCCGGTCTGCCGCCGCACCGTTTTTCTGAACCCCCCCGAGAGGGGTGGAGGGCTGAGGAGGGGGGCATCGCATGGGCGGGGCCACGATTCGGAGTCGAAGAAGCGCCATAAGCATACACTTTCGCTGGTCCTCGCGGATTTCTTGGATCCGCGCGGGGGCCCCCATTGGCGGCGCCTCCGGCGCCGCCCATGGCGCGCTCCGCGCGCCACGGGAGCAGGGTCCAGCGCAGATCCAAGAAATCTGCGTGGAGCGCCAACAGTTTATGCTTATGGCATCTTTTTTCTCCTGGTGACATCGATGCCCCGGATGAGCGACGCCGGAAGACGAGGCCGTCGGCGCCGACATCGGCGCGTGAGCTGCCCGCGTAGGATGGCGCGCAAGCGCCCCCGTCTCCCATGCGACGTGCCGCGCTGGGGGCCCCGCGTGAGCCGCCGCGTGAGGTCGCTGCGTCCTCTCGCGTAAGACCTGCTCTTGATCGTCCAGCACGCCCGCCGGTCCCCTGTTGCTCGTCCAGCGCGCCCGCCGGCCCCCCTCCGTCCGCGCACGTGCCGCGGGCCACGGCGCGCACCGCCCCGCCCTCCGCGGCACGCCCGAGAGGTGGACTACGCCGCCTGCTGGGAGCGGCTGCGCGCGCCGCAGCTGCCAGACCCGCACCGCGCCTGGAGGCGGGAGGTCCCGTTCGTCAGTGACGACGCCGTGGAGGTGCCCCTGGGGAGGAGCTTCCGGCTGTACGGGCAGGAATCGGCGGAGAAAAAACCGTACGCGCCACAGGGCAACTTCCAGAGCTCCGCGTAGCGCAGATCTCCGCGCGAGATGTTCTGGGGTCGGCGGCGCTGGGCTCCCCCTGGCGGTGCCTCCTCCTGCTCCTCCTCCTCCTCCTCCTCCTCCTCCTCCTCCTCCTGCTCCTCCTCCGCCTCCTGCTCCCTCCTCCTCCTCCTCCGCCTCCTGCTCCCTCCTCCTCCTCCTCCTCCTCCTCCTCCTCCTCCTCCTCCTCCTCCTCCTCCTCCTCCTCATCCTCCCGCGCCAGCTGAGGGAGGCTCTGGTGCCGATCCGAGCACTCTGCGCCGACCTCCGGAAGCGGATTGCCTGTGCCGTGCCCTCCGGATCTCAGGACTACTGGTCGGTGTCCGTTAGCCCTTACGGCTTCTTGGCCTTCGGCGCCGGCATCGCGGACTTCGCCCCCGGCGTCGACGCGCACATGGGCCGGCTGGGGATCAGCGGCCTCGCGTGCGACCTCGCGCTGCCGCGCGGCGGCCGCGTCTGGCACGAGGTCTTCGACACCGACGGGCAGCCCCGCGCCGTGTTCACCTTCGAGGGGGTGCCGACGGTCACGTCGCCGGCCACCAGCACGTTCCAGATCGCCCTCTACTTCTCCAGCGGCGCGATCCGGCTGAGCTGGCTCGAGGTCTACCAGCCTCGAATGTATCCCTATCCCTGAGATTGGCACGCCAAAAGGCGAGGACCATCTTAGGGGTTCGCCCTCAAAAAATGAGGGAATCCCTAAGATTGGCATCGCGATGAGGAGGTGCCCAGCATAGGGATAGGGATATGTTCCAGGCTGGTAAGAGGTGGCCCCCGAGGCTGCCGCCAAAGCCGTCGTGGGGCTGTCGCCCGGGCTCTTCGGGGTGAGCCTGGACCCCCTGGAGGGCGTGAATGCCACGTGCGGGGCGGTGTGCGGGGACGGGTCTCGCCAGTTTTCGGAGAGCTGCGACGACGGCAACTCTGTCGACGGGGACGGGTGCTCGGCTGAGTGTGATGTCGAGCAGGGCTTCTTCGTCGTGGCTGGCGACGGCGCAGGCGGCGCCGACATCAGTTTCCCGATCAAGTGTGGGGATGGTCGCCGCGACGGTGCCGAAGAGTGCGATGACCACAACACACTGGCAGGTGACGGCTGTTCAGAGAACTGCACCGCAGAGGCAGGTTACACGTGCGGGCGGCCTGATGATCAGCACAGCGACGTGTGTCGTGGTACTGGTCCCGCAGCCTCACAGTTGTTCGAGCAGGGTGCATTTGACTTGGAAGGCTTTCAGCTCGTATTCACACCCAGTGTCCTCGACCAGAAGTATACCGTCTGCCGCAGTCCACTCGGCGATTCCGCGATGCTCCCCGACTCACATTCCCCAGGAGCCATCGCCATGGTTCTGCGTGACGACGAGGCTGTGATGGTGAGCCCCCCGAAGCCGTTTGTCTTTTACGGCGAGGCTTTTTCAAATGTGTACATTGGGTCCAATGGCTACATCACATTTGAACGTGGCGATGTCAGCCACAGGGGTGGCCTGGAGAAGCATTTTGAAGTACCCCGTATCAGCGGGCTCTTCGCAGACCTGAACCCAGAGGCAGGCGGAAGCGTCCGCCACGAAATCATCGATGACGGCACCGAAACTCGGATGGTCATCACATTCGACGCAGTGCCCGACTACGCCAGCAACTCCCCAAACTCCTTCCAGATTGCCCTCTACCTGGAAGACGGGCGGATCAGGCTGAGTTGGACGGAGGTTCGAGTAGGGGATCGACTACGTAATCTATGTGACCCACAATTGATTTGCACGTTGAATCTAGAAACAGTTCGTATAATGCCAGTAGATCTGCGAACTTTGTACGTACTTGTTGTACACTCGGCGAGAACGTCAACTTCGTAGTGGATCCCCTACTCGAAAGGTGAGCCCCGCCTCTGCAGTCGTGGTCGGCCTGTCGCGGGGCGACCAGCCGCGGACGGACAGCCTGTACCTGCCCAGCGGGTTCTTGTACCTGGAGGACGCAGATCTGAAGTCGGTCGGTTACGTTGCATTTTCAGGGGTCGGCGACGAGCGAGGGGGGAAATGAGGAGGAGAAGGCCTTCTCAGAAGGCGGCGGGGCTTCTCAGAAGCCCTCGCGCCTTCGGAAAAGTTTTCTGTGTCTTCGGGGAAGGTGTAGAAAGCTTCTCAGGAGGCCGGGTGGCTTCCGAGCCTTCTGAGAAGGTCCGCCCCTTCTCACCCTTCTCACTTCCCCCCCCGCGCTCGCCGCCAAAGGTGACCTCGCCTGTCCCCAAAATCTGTGTTTTCTTTTGTGTCCCACGCGGGCTCCATGCGGACTCGACGCGGATTTAGAGTGGATTCGACGCTCGGATTCGACGTGGATTCGACGAGTCGGACATGGATTCGACACAGATTCGGCGCGGATAGGGGCGCGACGGGACAGACGAGTTCCCCTGAAGATTCAACACAAGGTCGGCATAGACTCGTTTTACTCGGGCGATTTCACTTGGGAGCTCTTCTACAAGCTGCACTCGGCGGGCCCCCGCGCCACCATCATGGGCAACGCGCTCAGCGATGCCCAGCCGAGCCTGGTCTCCTTGGACATCAACGAGCAGGACCAGGTCGCGGTTCAGGTCAGGCACAATGGCGGAGCAAACGAATCTGGCCTTGCCATAGACGGCACCAGCCCGCGGCCACTCGTGCACGGGGTGTGGGTGCACCTGGCGCTGACCGTCGACCGCGCCGCGGCGTGCTCCCCGCTGGGGCCCCTGGCGGGCGAAAGCAACTGCACCCGCGTGGCCCTGTACGTAGACGGCGGGATGCAGGGCCTGTGGGAGATGCTCGAGGCAAGCGACGCCGACTCGAACGCCGGGCAGGGTCTCCTCGTAGGCTCGGCGAGGAGCAAACGGCATGAACCTACACTCTCGGAGCTCCGCGCGGAGCTCCGAAAGTTTACGGTCATGCCGTTTGCTCTCTTCCACAGGCGGCGGCGGCGGCGCCGTGCCGTCCAACAGCACCTGGGGCTCCACCCGCGAGTGCAGCGCCGCGGCCTCGGGGAGCACCGACCCCTGTTCGTCGTTCTCGTTCTCCCCGCGCGTGTCTCTCTCTCGAGAGACCTGCACCTCTGCGCGCAGGACCGCTTTGTTCATCCCAAGCCATTCTTCGACGGCCCGGGGGCCCGCGAAGGGCCCTCTGGGGGGCAGGGCCCCCGGGAGCGAACATTGCCCGACACTGGCCGTCGTGTCCCCTCGCACGACGCGAGGATGCCGGGCTCTTGGGCCATAGGTCGGGCCTCCTCCGGCCGACTGGGATGACCTGGGCACGCCCGTGGACGCTCTGGAGGGGCCGCCGCTGCTGGAGGGCATTCCGGAAGGCGAGAAGACCGCCGGGAGCCAGCCGGAGACTGCCAACAACTTCCGAGTGTTTATATAGTATTCCCACGAAGGGAGGACGCCAGTGGACCTTTCAGGAGGGAAAAAAAACACAGACACAATGCATCGTAGATTCCCCAGAAAATATTGGACCATACGGGAAGTGGGGGGAAGACAAAAACCCAGAAAACATGGGGAAATTTCGGGAATGCTATTATTTGTGTGTATTTATTTGTGCGTCCCAGGGCCCCTTCGACCTTGCCTCCGTGGGACGGGGCGCTCGGTCCGGGCCGCCGGTCCTGCTGGTCCTGTCGACCGACCAGGTCGGCTGCACTCAAGCAGTGGCGAAGCGTCCCGGCTTGCCTATAGCCCCACCAAACAATGTGCTAAGAACTACTGTATGTGTGGTGCCCACGAAATGCTCTTAGAACATTTCTGGCTAGGGCTGTCTTGTTTCAACACATCGGGTTTTATCTTCCAAGGACATTGTTGTTGTTCTTAGAACATGTTTGGGCTCGAAGAACATTTCGTGGTATGACTATAGGAATGCCGGGGCGGTCGGTCCCTGCTCAATGCACGTAAGAGTGACCGTTCGCCAGGGTCATTTTTGGTGTTGACCCAAAATGGGTAGGGCCATTTCTTCGTGGGGTTGACCACGACCTCGCGTCGACACCCCCAGCGCGGGGTTGGCGCTTGCATGTGGGCGCGCCAAGGTTAGGCCCCGCTCTCGCAGCCGACCGCGACGCAGACGCGGCGCATCCTACAGCGCGCTCGGCGATGGGGCGATCGGCGGCGTGTTTTCCGCCACAGGCCCCGTTCCCGATTCCCAGCCGAACTCCTGAATCGCCCCGCCCGAATATCTTCGAACCGGTTGGCTCTTTGGACTTACTGTTGGGCACCGAGGTTCTTTACTATCTCGAGTTGCCCAAAGGTCCAGAAACATTTATCCGTGCACTTGTTCGGCCTCGGTCTTGGCCGCGACGCCAGACGTGGTCCGACGCCCTCGCGGCGCGGCCCTGCAGGGCCAGGCCTCACCGCGCCGTGGCCCCCGGCGGCGTCTGCTCTCGCAGCGCCATTTGAGGTGCCCTTCGGGGCGTTCGGAGCGAGTTGGCCGAAGTCCGTGCGCGCCAACTACTAGTAGTAGTAGTAGTAGTAGTAGTAGTAGTAGTAGTAGTAGTAGTAGTAGTAGTAGTCGTAGTAGCAGTAGTAGTAGTAGTAGTCGTAGTAGTAGTAGTAGTAGTCGTAGTAGTAGTAGTAGTAGTAGTAGTAGTAGTAGTAGTAGTCGTAGTAGTAGTAGTAGTCGTAGTAGTAGTAGTAGTAGTAGTAGTAGTAGTAGTAGTAGTAGTAGTAGTAGTAGTAGTAGTAGTAGTAGTAGTAGTAGTAGTAGTAGTAGTAGTAGTAGTAGTAGTAGTAGTAGTAGTAGTAGTAGTAGTAGTAGTAGTAGTAGTAGTAGTAGTAGTAGTCGTAGTAGTAGTAGTAGTAGTAGTAGTAGTAGTAGTAGTAGTAGTAGTAGTAGTAGTAGTAGTAGTAGTAGTAGTAGTAGTAGTAGTAGTAGTAGTAGTAGTAGTAGTAGTAGTAGTAGTAGTAGTAGTAGTAGTAGTAGTAGTAGTAGTAGTAGTAGTCGTAGTAGTAGTAGTAGTAGTAGTAGTACTAGTAGTAGTCGTAGTAGTCGTAGTAATAGTAGTAGTAGTCGTAGTAGTAGTAGTAGTAGTAGTAGTAGTAGTAGTAGTAGTAATAGTAGTAGTAGTAGTAGTAGTAGTAGTAGTAGTAGTAGTAGTAGTAGCAGTAGATGTTGTAGTAGTAGTAGTAGTAGTAGTTAGTAGCCTGCTTCGACGAAGAAACATACGCCATACACATACACTTTTTGGCGCTTCGCGCGGGTCTCTCGAATCCGCGCTGGGCCGCCCCAGGCGGCGCCTCGCTGGCGCCGCCCCATGGCGCGCTCCTCGCGCCAGGGAGGGGTGTCCGGTGCAGATCCGAGGAACCCGCGCGCAGCGCCAAAAGTGTATGTTTATGGCGTTGGTTCTTCTTCTTCTTCTTCTACTTTTTTGTTCTTCTTCTTCTTCTTCTTCTTCTTCTACCGCTGGCGCTGCGGATCTTTCGAGGCGCGTCCCGCCGATCGCCGATGCAGCGCGGCGGCAGCGGCCTGCGCGGCGGCGTGAAGACCCTCCCCCCCCCACGGGCGCCCCCGAAGCCGCGCGCCAGCTCATCGAGAATGATCGGGGGAGCGTAAGACCCGGGTTTGCCAGGACTCGGGTTCGCCATCGTTTTTTGACGACCGCGCCTCGGATTTTGACGAGGAGGAGTTTCGTGGGATGTCTGCAGCGGGAGGCCTCGTCAAAATGCAGGCTCGGCCTCGTCATT